TTTCGAAACCGGAATGCATTTCGAAATTTCGGCTGACATTTCATGAGTTAGCTCACCTACTGTATAAGGAATTGAGGGATGAGAACGGGGAATAAAGACTACCAGCTGAAGCATGAAATGATCAAAGCAGACCAGACAGGGGCACAGTCTGTGATCTCAAAAAACGGAGAGTTGCCTTTCGCTTTTCTATACACAACGGGCCCAAAACGGTGAACTGGTAGAGAGGAATTATGAGCAGCAGTCAGCAAATGAAGTAGGAAGGAGAAGGTTTCTCCCACTATTCACCGGAGAACCAGTTAAAAGAAGTGAGACTGAATTGAACGGAGTAAAGTCCACTTGCAGGGCCAGATGGCAATAGGAACAATCAACACAAACACACGCAAGCGGCGTCCACCTCTCTGGCCCGGGGGTTGAACCAAATATGGAGCCGCTGTGGACGGGCGCACATCAAAGAGCAGTTAGTAGGAGAGAATTCTTGGGAAACAATGCCAGGATAATTGGAGTTGCAGGGTATTCAGGAAGGGGGTGTGTGCATGACTGACTAGGGACTAAAATGAGCCAAAATGTCCATCCAGGGACCATTTTAGTCTGTCTCTCTCCATCATAAACAATCTAGAGCATTCGGTGATTGGCTATTAAATTAGCTTACTAGGCTAGAATGGATGTCGATATGGCCTGAAAAGTAGGTTAGTTGAGTAGGTCTACTTTCTCATTAAATCAGTGGTCTCTTAAATGACAAACGTATAGCGCTGTGGCTGCCTTCCTGGTGCGCTACATGAGCCCGTGAAGTCACCGGCGACTGGTGTAGCATACGAGAATGCCCGCAGAGTTAGTGAAAGAGTCCGTATCTACGTTGTCTACTAAGCTAACTATATTGACAACGTCAAAAAGGGTTTGAATATGGTCATCTTAGTCTGAATCTGGAGGGTCTGAGCTTCATCAGACAGAGTTCAAAGTGAATGAATAGACTCTATTAACTTCATTGAACTACTTCAAATATTCTAGCATTGCAGACGAGGCAGGAGGTTCCATCACAGTCTGCTTCTTAGTCAGTTACGCAACTGAAGAACAATATTTCGACAGATATTGTCGGGAGGGAGTCTATTAAATGTCTTATTGACAACATGGAATTATGGCTTCAGCGGTGGGAAGTGATTAAAAAGCAATATGAAAAAAATCCACGGTGCATTTGACATGTGGATGTTCCCTTTTATCCGTTGATACGACCTTAGGGGCATTCAACTCCACTCTAAGGTTAATTATGGGGAGTCGGAGGTTCCACCCATTTGCTGCGATATACTGAGGTATCGGGTTGCAGGATACCATACTAACAACACAGGCACTGGCCAAAAGCCCGTGTTTCGCCGATATTCTGCCGCTGCATGGCGCAGCTGTGTGGGGTTGGGCTCACCAGTTGTTCCCCCCAGCACTCCCCGTGTGCTTTCTAGTAGACACTCCAGGTTTTAGAAATTGTTGTTTTTAATTTTCTCGGAAATTAACAATTAACTTGGAGTAAATCAGTTTGAACTAAACTGCATAGGCGCAGCGGTAGGATATCGGCGTGGCACGTGTCTGGGCTTTCAGCTAGTACCTGTGCTGTTAGTACGGTATCCTGCTATCCAATCGATACTACCAGTTGTCCGTCGGCAGTTAATAAATACTGAGCGGTTATCGCGCATTGGCTGATGGACATCGGCCCAAGTACTCATACACCGAATTTCGGCCTACGTCCCTAGACCATAGATCAAACTGACCTACTGCATGTTAACAATTAATTTCTGAGATACCAATGGTCAGTCTCTGCAGTAGCTCGAAGAAAGTCTATTGACATTAAAACCTGGCAAGCTCTATCCCTTAACTCCAATGCACCACCAGAAGAAAACAGATTTCCTGAACTAAACTCCTCATACGTCATTTGCATAAATCGGGAAGAATATAGGTCCCTTGACAAAACCTTCAAAGACACTGCTACTGACTAATTAATCAAACGATTTGACACTTCTTTGGTGTACGGGCAAATCCTATAAGCAAGGATGGTTGCAAACGGCTATACTGCAGTATCGACGGAAGAACGACGTTAAATATTTACTGGGACACGGAAATACGCAATGTAGGTGGTCTCGCATTAAACTGTGTTGGGATTCCTATTCACGCTTCGTCACCTTAACCATAACCCTAGCCATCCTAATTCCGACCCACAACACAACCCGTTTCATATCTCTGATTTCTCTTATTTTATGTCTCATTGAATTAGGCTCGGAGCGACCTGTAACAGGGGGGGGGTGGAGGGAGAAGTCCATATTCCTTTGCCCAACCTAGGTTTTAAGAGCGCACTCAACAGAATGAAAGGTCTTCAGAGATCAGGAAAGATGACTTCGACATCGTTAGAACTGTCTGGCCTCCCGCAAATGATTCCAACTGTCATAAGCACGTACCTAGGGAAGCCTTGTTGACTGGGAACAAAGAGTATACTGAGGATAGTGTCAATGATTCTACGATCTGAACTGGTAATAATAATCGACCGATTGCTAAAACCCACTCGCTAAGAGTCTTCCTTGGTAAGCAGGAGATAGATTGATCAGGAAGCCCTGTCACATTCTTTGGGAGGCTTCCTGCTAAGGGCTGACCATGAGCGTGTTGGACAGATGCCTGGCCGGCTAGATCGCAGTTGGTAGCCAGGAATAGGGAAGCCGACAGCGACCTTAACCCTAATCCTAACCCTAACCCTAACCTCATCATTAAACGTTAACCTTTAACCCTAACGGCAACCCTTACCCTAGCTCTAACCGAAATCGTAAACGTAACCGTAACCCTTAGACATAACCGTTACTGAAAACCTAACGGTAATACTGAAACCTAATCGTACGTTCAAACCCTAACCGTTACCCAAGAACTTAAGCCTAAGGGCATAGCGCTAACCCGAAAATCGGAGACCATTAGCCGGTACCCTAATCTTAACCTCACAAGTAAAACGGAAGCCAAATGGGTCAGATGTGATTATGGAGCCCTACAAAATAGCCTCAGAGGGACAAAGACCTAGCCAGTTAAACAACATAATCTCCAAAGGTGGACAAAGTCAGCGGATCGGGTGATCATGTCTCCCTTATGGGAGAGAAAACAGTTATATCAGTACCGGGATAATGAACCCAAAAATATTTGCGAATTGAGTTTGGATACACAAAGCCGACTGCTATGACCAGAGTTCGGCGGACTCTGCCAAAAGGCGGCTAGAATGTCTTTGCGAATAAACAAAAAAGACTTCTAGATGAACCCTAGTCACAAAAAGGCGAGTCCAAGAGGTAGGTCGGTCAAAAGACAAATAGTGAAAAGAGAAAAGTTGTGGCGAGTGCTTCTGGAAACCATCTGTAACAGGGAAACTCCATGACTGCAAGAGCGGAAGGATGGCTAGTGGGGAAAGCACGATGGGAGGTGCGGACAATTTCCGTATTATTGCGGCTCTGCAGAAACCCAAAATATTTACGCCTACAAAGGCTGAGTTGACCCAGTTTATATATAAGACGAAACAATATAGTTGTAATTACCGCTACAAACAAAAATACACGTACCAGGAAGCAACTGAAAAGAAGATGCGATCGCTAGAATAGCAATTTTATTCGCCCTACGGTTCGCATTCCCACTCCGCATACTATTAGAGACAGTCTCCGAGATGGATGATGAAGGCACAGGAGCGCAGTACTTACAGGATGCAGTTGCCATGTCACTGCAGACCTATGAAAGTTGGCGGCTCCCGAACTCATTACCAGAGGCCATAGTTGGTATTATGGTTTCTCGCTAATGGCACGATAATAACTAGGCAGTTTGGCTCTGTAATACTGCTACTGGAAGCGGTAGCTGTTCTTGTCCTCCCTGTGTGGCCGGTAAATCTGCCCAGACAAAATTTCAGCGACGACTATCAAGGGGGATATCATGACGTTTGTTCATTTACTGACTCGAGCATTTTGCTCAACAGGCGGTCGTCACATCCCGTGAGTAATTCGACTTCGTCGATCATGAGGCTGGAATTGAATCCATTTGAATACTTCACAACCTGAAGGCCGGCGTGCTTCTTCTTTATTACTGCACGTTCAGCCATCCGCGTCGGAAGTAATATTCCAGTTTCCCTGACATAGTGGCTCCGTTCTTAACTGCTCCGGATCCAGTAACGACACCCCAGAAAACTGAAGTCTTATCCGAGTCCTGTCAGCCCAGTGTTGCGCAATAATTGAGATACACAGCTGGTCATATTGTTGCGAGGTCTGCCAATGAGTCAGCAGCATTCCTCACTGCCAGTTGATAGCCGTAAACGTTTATTTACCAGAAAACTGAACAACGTCGTGCCAGCTCATGTGATTAGTTCGCGGTCCCAGCTGATCAACTAACAGTTAACTTGCACCCTCTAAAATTGCATTGACAATGCAGAGTAGACTTTTATCAAATCAACTTCTTACTCAAAAATCTCCTTGCCACAGCGGAAACGTGACCAGTTTGCTAATAGGAAGGCATCCGAATATGTCGAGCACCAGTAGCTCTTTCGGGAGCCACACAACCTGGACGTTCGAGGCAACTTACAGTACTGTCTGCGGATGGCAACCGGTAGCGACGAGGAAAATGTCGTCGGCGCAAAGTCTTGGTAACGTTTGCGTGGATAACATTTCCTTCTGAGGCAGCCTGTCTCGGGAGGATTAGGTCACAACTTCCATAATGGGCTGCGCTGGGAGTTTACTGGACCAAAACGGGTTCACGTCACACGTTTACCGAGCAGCGCAATGTCCGAACTAGTCCACGACTTCTACCCCACGCACATGTATTTTGTACTCCGCAGACGTAAAGCTTCCATGCGCTCAATTCCATCGTTATTTGTTTGACAGGCTCTACTGAGCATGAAAGCTGGAAGACAGATCGAGGCCTACATTAGGAAACCTATCCTCATGGCAAACTAGCGCATCCCTCACCGTGCCAAATCAGCCTCATTCAACACAGCTGACGCCAAACCTGTCAACATGATCGCAGCAGTGGAATCGGTCATTAATCAGACGGAAGCGGCGGAGGAGACGAAAAACCTTATCCGACACAAAGTTTCGTCTCTCCTTATGACTCACAAGCCGCGCGAAAAACTCACAAAGGTCGAACGCGATGCACTAAGAGAACTCAAGGCCGACAAGGACATCGTCATTGTGTCCGCGGACAAGGGGCGTTCCACCGTCGTACTGGACAAAACAGACAACCTTCAGAAGGCCAAAAAGCTGCTGGAGGATCACCAGTTCTATGTCCCATGTGAAACCAACCCGGTAAAAACGCTGACAAGCGAAATTAATGCAACACTGTTGGTAATGGAGAACTCGGGTGCAATAACACCGACTGACCGACGCATGGCGAGAGCCCAAGAAACGGCCTTGGCCCGATTCTAGGGTCTCCCAAAGGTGCACAAGGAGGGCGCTCCTCTCCGGCCCATTGTATCGCTCAAAGGCACTCCAACGTACAGACTGGCAAGATGGCTGTTTCGGCGCCTCAAATTCCTGACCGCGGATTCGGATACCACTGTCTGTTCATCAACGCAATGCCTGGAGAAGCTTAAAGGAGTAAGTCTCTTGCCAAATGAGGTCATGGTATCTTTTGATGTCACGTCCCTCTTTACTTCTATCCCCCAGGATCTGGCAATCGAGACCGTGAAGCTACTCCTACGAAACAAATACGATGAAACAGAGAATCGTCTCGGACATGCCAAGTCCTTCAGCTCCTGAAGTTCTGTCTCACGACGTACTTCACGTTTGATGGAACAATCTACGAGCAAGTGAAGGGAACACCAATGGGCCCGCCGATTTCGGGATTCATCGCCGAGGCGGTCCTACAGCGGTTGGAGTCGCTGGTCTTCCAACACCACAGACCGAAATTCTGGGCTCGGTATGTGGACGATACCTTCGTCGTCATCGAACGGGACCAGGTGCCAACGTTCAAAGAACGTCTCAACAGCGTATTCCCGGACATACAATTTACGATGGAGGAGAAAGAGAATAACCAGCTGGCATTCCTTAATGTCCTCGTCTGTCGCAAAGATTGTGATGGCTTAAAGACCAAAGTATTCAGAAAAGCAACGAACACGACGCAAATTCTGAACTCCAACAGTAACCACCCAATCTGCCACAAACGCAGTTGCGTAAGAACGCTATTTCGGCGTGTTGAGACGCACTGCAGTGAACCGGAAGACAAGGTTGCCGAATCCCAGTATCTTCGACGGGTTTTCAGAGAAAATGGTTACCCGCGCAACTTCGTCAACCGGTGCCTGCGCAAACGAGACGAGCGACAAAATCGCACCGACCCCAAATTCTGGCGAGCGATCCCGTACATCAAGAACGTCTCCGAGGCCGTTAGTCGCCTTCTTGTACCACTTGGGGTTGGAGTTGCGCACAGACCGGAGGCCACCATGAGGCGTCAAGTGATGAGACCAAAAGACCCACTGCCACGGCAAGAAACATCTGGAGTCGTTTACTGGATCTGGTGCAGTTGCGGACAAAGCAACTACGTCGGAGAAACTGGAAGACTGCTCCGGATGCGAATCGCCGAACATGTGGCAGCTGTACGGAGAAATGACGCCAACTCTCAGGTCGCGGCCCATTCGACGAGACCCGGCCACACATTCAAGTTCGATGAGGCCGAAATTCTCGCTAGAGGGGATAATCGCGTGAGCCGCGAGTTGCTTGAGTCATGGTTCACGGGACCTCAGTTTATCAACAAGTGCAACGACATTCCCACTACATATTCTGTCTTGAGGCATAGACTGGCCAAAGCAATTGACCACTCGAGGAGCGCGCAAGCACGTGAGCCAGATGGCCGAGCAATCATCACGACAGCATCCAACACGGGTGATGAGATGTCAGCAATTAACATCTTGCATGCCGACCATCAAGCAATTAGCGCACCAGCGGGCAACAATCCTTGATGAAGGGAGCACGGTTAATTGCTGTAGGTATGCGGTAGCATGGCGACCGCATCCTATAAATACTGCGACTTCCTGTACACGAGCCACCCTCTTCTGCAACTGTCTCTGATAATGGATTCAAAAGAGAATCCGAAACGTCAGGCGAATAAAGCCATTGTTCCAGCGATCGCTTCTTCTTCTTCTTCTTCTGATCAGACGTTATTAAGTTTGTCGGTAAGATCGCATTTGGTAGCCAGGCACTGAACGCTGATACTGTCGAAGTACGTACTTGTTATGAGTTGGTGTGTTTACCTTGCCTAGTAATCTACTGCGTGAGGTAGGTCGGTCGTTTCGGTCAGGCTGTTGGGTTTAATGAGGGTTACGTTTAGGCGTAGATTACGCTTTGGGGTTGTGAGTTGCGTTATAGGGTCCGGCTTCAGTGTTAGGGTTTAGGTTTTGGATTATGGTTTGGCTTTAGAGTTGGGGTTCTGCTTCAGAGTTAGGGTTACCGGTTAACGATTAATGGTTAACGATTAGGGTTAAGGCTGGGGTTATCCAATCACAATTTACCTCTTTCATTTTCCGCAGGCTGTGCTATTTTCCGCGGGATGATTTCCGATTTCTGCCAATAATCTACCTTCCTAAAACTTCCCAACCCTTTTTTCGCTTATTTTTTCCTCGAAACTCCAGCCTTCGTCTGGGATCACATCCACTTACCCCACCCATATAACCCCCTTTCCCACCATCCTCGTAAGACAGGTACGCCGCCGTCTGCCTCCCATTCCTGACTACCAACTGCTATCTAACCAATTTGTCATGAGTCGTGGTTTGTAAAGTGGTTAAATGATGAAGTAGTTTGGGTCTGCCGGGAACTGAGAGTCAGGCCGCAGTGGCCACTTCTCAATGTGACCATATGTCACACTGACTTATGAGAGATCTGGGCCGCCTTACAGAGGCCCTCACATGTGCACTACTCGAGGACGGACGTTTTAGCTTTGCCAGTCCTTGCTCCAATGTCCGCCGCTGGTGGCCCTAAAAGTGTCTTGTTACAGGGTCAAGGTGGGTGAGGAAGAGGGGAGGGAGTTGCGGCAGACGCTGCGCAAGCCCATCTCGGTCTAATTCGCGCTTAAGTTACCGGTCATACGCGCAAAGCGTAGAGCACGCGGTGGAGGTAATTGCTTGCGGTGATCGAACTGCTGGATGAGTTCAGGTCATAAGTGACATTTTTCGCAGATGAAACTCCGAGAAATTCTAAGAACAAAAATAACACCGTCATCCTATGAGGGATTTTAAGATACAAACCATATAACGAGGAACGCATGAAGTTCAGCACTGCGGGCTGCGTGATAATGAATTCACACTGTAGAAGGCAAGACTACCTAAATATGGAAGCACAATTCTCAATGGCGGCGGAGCTTGCGGTAGTATTGATTGATGTCTATTTTGTGTGTACTCGTCAATCCATACGTTAATACAATCCGCTGAACTTTTGGAGCCTTTGTTCGTCTTCACTTGGAATGAACAGTTAAAGCCAGTAAGCCATGTCAAAAGAATAATGCGGGGAACTACGGGGTTAAGGGACGTGAGGCCAGATTATTGTCCAAAACGAAGCTTTTTAAATACCCTCGACAGATGTTTGTTGGAAAGATGCTTTTCTTCGGTTATAGGTAAAACGAGTGTTGGTTTTTACTGCTGAACCTAGATCTACTTTTCGTTTAGGCCTACCGTGGGCTCGATATCGTCATTTGAGGAGAGCACACAGCAAAGTGTTAAGGACGTCGTCAGACCCACCGTTCGTTGCCATCACCTCCAACGGAATCTCTCAATTTGGTAGAGGCGGCGAACCGCATAGACTGGGAGGTGTCTGCAGGCGTAGACGCAGCAGCAACGCTGACCCCCCACTCCCACCGCAGTCTCATGAAGGTTGGTGTGGGACCGCCTCGCGGGTTCCTGGATCTGAACGACCGTACATTCAGCTCGCAAATTCGGACGGTAAACACGGCAATCTCAATGATCGCCTACCTCCTCCTCCTCCTCCCTCCCCTCCTCCTCCTCCTCCTCCTCCCCCTCCTTCTTCTTCTTCTCCTCCTCCTCCTCCTCCTCCTCATCATCATCATCATCATCATCATCATCATCCTTTTCCTCCTTCTCCTCTTCATAAAATAATAATCTTGCATAATAAAACTTGGGCTCGTAAACCAGAAATCATATGCTCATGAACGCACGTGCAAGCTATAACACCCACCCCCACCACGTGTGATGGCCGTACTAAAAACCTTAGTTTGTGCAAATAGGAAAACGAGAAAATGTGCCGAAGACATAGTCGATCTTCATAAATTGCACAAAAATTGGGAGTGTTTCATTAAAGAAGGTTGAAGGAAATTGAAGAAAACGGTGGTCGAGACCAAGCAACCTGCTGGAGGCCAACGGCGTACTATGAATGTTACATTATGAGTGTTAACCTAAGACACTCTCACGAAAAAAATTTTCTAACTATGTATTTTACTCTCTCTTCCACGTATTTGCTCACACTCACATAAAATACAAAAAGTTAGGTTAAATTGCCCATAAAATACGCTTTTTTAACACTAAGTTCCACCCAAACATCAGCTAATTTTACGCAACGTATTACTAATCACAGCACACTTTGGTTTTAGTTTATGTTTTGATCCTTTACTCTTTAAGTGTCGGCTAAAACCGGTGTTTTTAGATCGCCTCTGTGGAGCATACTGCATTTCAGAGACCTTATACCAGGACTACAAAATGTGGTCCATATGCAGTTCTACGCCAACGTATACTTCCTGTTTCTTCTTTCTCTCTCTCTATGCATCGCTCCTTTTCGTTGCAATATGTTGTAAAATCACTGCTCCATTACAGAAGCTAGAAAGCACATGTGAGCGGAGGTTGTAAAAAGGCATAATATCCGGTTAACAAGGTTAATTGGTAGCTCTAGTTAACAGCTCTAAATGACATACAAAGTTGAGGTAGGGGTCTTGGTGTAGCAGACAAATTTTCGGAACTGCTCGTCCACTATGGAAAAGCACGGAGAGCATGCAAGAAAAATGGCTAGTCTAAACCCACTAGAGCGTAGATTTACACTGCATGCTCGTAGAGGATGCCGGACTTCGGACTATTCAATAACAGAGCTTTTCTAATTCACAGAAACCATAGTTGCGTTTTCAGGGAGGTTTGTAAAGCAAGCTAACTCTGAGGAAAACTGTGTGCGTTGAAAGTTAACGAAAACCCACTGTCCGCATTGGTGCAATGTATTAGTTTTTCGCTAGGGTGTTGATGAACCTGGAATGACAAGTCGATTGCAGTTTTCGAAAATAACATGGATGAGGCCAACTTCTCAAGATGCAACAGAATATCTAGCAAAACATGCGATGCTTTCTATAAACGGTTCTCACTTTCTCTGAACCAAGCCTTCCACTTCGAGTGACTGCTGAAAAGGCAAATCTTTTGTGAGACGGCTTGATGCACAGCATATTTTGCAGAATGTTTTCTGGTTCTACGGTACAAACTGACGAATATACGGAGGCACATAACTCCAATCAAAAAACCACAAATACTTTTGTTTGGAGAGAGACTGAGACTCTCATCCCAAAAATCGAAGAATGCAGTTTAGACTTCAATAAGAATGTCAGACATACCCGCATCTTTTGGACAGGACGTCACCTTAAAGTGAGCCGCGAATTTACTGAAATTTGACCAAAATTCTGGAATGCATTTTTTATTAGAAATGATCGTCTAGGTAATATTCTAGCATCGGCTATCGTGTGCAGTATTAATCCATGACAATTTGGCCCTTTCAGAATGCCGGATTTGAATACGCCTCTTTCCGGTCGCTTGCAGAAATACCACTCGGCAAACATAGCTGCTTCAGCAGTATGAACTTCATGCGTGTTTCTTGCTGTCATTGTAGACAATAATATCATTCAATTCTAAAAACTTATCATTTCCGGAGTAATTTCGAAGTCTATCTGCCATTGCACGTGCGTTTATGGCCCAACAAGTACAAGTTGTGCGCTTTTTACCTGAAGAAAGACATACATTTCTGCATATCATTGTAAAAATAGCATATAAGGCTCAAGAAGTTTACGGTGGGTATGCACCAGATTGCATACTTCGCAAGGGACATTACTAGACGAACAGATAAGATGTCACTTGAATGAAAAGTTCACGGTTTTTAAGAAATGTCCCACTGACATGATTTGTAAGCTAAAACATCCCTTACTGGAGTAGAAATTCGAAGATGTAAATTACCATATGATGAGTGCAAAAAACAGTGCCTTATGCATGTTTGCAATAAATATGTTTGGGTATAAACGTGATCGTCAACAATCGTTTAAATGTAATTGCTATCCATGCCAAAGATAGGATTTGCATTAATATTCATAAAGAACACTGTAACTTATTGAAAACTACGCTAATAAGAAATCAACTAAACCAGTAAACTGGGACGGCCTGGAACTGTCAAATGTCCAAATTCGGCTCTAGCGAACTGTCCGCCGAATTACAGGGGTGCGTCGGACGGCAATACGAGTAATCGACGTTTCCATTCTAGGACTCCTAAGATCAGCGTGCTTGCTATTCAGTCTTCGGAGTGCGACAATAAAAACTTATATTTGGCAGCTTGTAAATTTCCCACTCGATCCAAACATCTAGCAGTAAAAAACAGCAACCCGAGGAGGTGGTAAAAATCTCGTATACTCTTAGTAACATCGGTTGGCATTGACAAATCGGAAGTCTTAATATTCTAGCGGCGTATAGACGCTATGTACTGTAGAAATTTCGATTCAGGGCTTGTAACCGTTATTCCGCATCCACAAAAGCTGTCATAGAGAGATCCATTATATAATAACGCCGCTCACTACGCTCCATAGCATGATCGTCTGTCGACGTAAATGTCTAATGTTCTGTTACACAGAGCATCTTCCGGCATGGCATAGTAGAAGAATTTATTCTGGAATTAAAACAAAAAATTAATTAACTAACCACAAACCGCGAAAGTTGTACAGATTTTCACCGTTCCAAATCTGCCAGAAAATCAAAGGTAGGACAGAGATCAAATTCAGGTTTACCTCAGTACAAGAGATAAAATGCATTTGCAAGGAATATTATTTGGAAATATTTGAGAGCTATTGCGAAAACTTCATAGATTCTTTTCTCTTTGCCTTAAAAGCCTCTGAAAAAAACAACATAAACAATACATTCTCGGTCATTTAAGAGAGAAAATTATCAAACGGTCGGCGTACTTGTTCCAATTATCCAAATTTTGGTTTCGAAATGTCTGTAACCATTCGGTATTTCACCTCTGGGAAGCTTCAGACCAAATATCGCCTAAAACAGACAGCTTTAACCAACGAATTTGAATGATATGAGGTCGACTTGAAGGGCAATACATAAGCAGCTCACTAAGAGTGTAATAAGCCAGACGCAGACAGCTGGTTTACGGTCGTTACCGATCGTCAGAAAGTCATAGGCCATTTGATATGAGGTATATAAACGTGACAAGTAAGCGTTTAACCCTCACCATTGCGGTTAGGATCTCACTCGATCCCATTCTGTCCGCCCCCAGCTTGTTACCGACGACAACGAACGTCGGGTCATAAGACACATGCCACATATAATACGTAAGCAGCTCCCTAGGAGTGCAACAGGTCAGACGCAGGCAGTTGCTCCATGGTCGTAACCGATCATCAGTGCATCATAGGCCTGTTGCAATCCTAGCGAGCTGCTTATGTATTATGTGTGGTACAGTAGGTGGGCTAACTCAAGCAATGTCAACCGAAATTCCGAGACGCGTTTTCGTTTCGAAAAGATTAATAAATAGTGTTGCAAAAGTAATCATCATGTAGCATAATCCTATAATAATTCAGTTATTTCAGGGTGTCGGCTTTCGAACAAACTTCTTTCCGGCTGCATGCAAACACTAAAATTTGTAAAAATGACTACTTAAGTAGCAGGCATTTTTCATTGATTTTCGATGCCCTTAAAGATTTACTTATATTTCATGGAAAACACGCAGTAAAATACTCATTCCTTTGCTCATTCAGTAGCCAATTAAATCTTTCTTTAATTTTACACTCGAAAGAAAGGTAGAATTCGGTATTAAAAAGTTTCTAATTGTGAGATGTTTTCATTCCGTGAAATGGCTCTTCATAAAACGTCATCTCTTTGCATTTACCAATAAGGCTTGTAAAGTCAACAATGTGGCTCAAATGGACTGCTTAATTTTGTGAACCCCATATGGTCTTCTCTTAATACCGTAGTGAAATGTATGGTTTTGTCTACGCGGAAATTGTACGGCTTGTAGTTTGGGAACCCTGAATACGAGTGTAACGGCAGGTCGGGTTCAAAATTATTCGGGAATTGGAAAAGTTTTATAAGACCAAATTTTACCCTTCCTTCGAGGGTAAAGTTGAAGGAAGCCCTAATTTTCTACTGAATGAGCAAAAGAATGAATATTTTACTGCGTGTTTTCCATGAAATATAATTGAACCTTTAAGGGCATCGAAAATCAATGAAAAAATGCATGCTACTTTAGTAGCCATTTTCAAAGGGTATAGTTTTTGCATGCAGTCGTAAAGGAGTTCGTTCGAAAGCCGGCACCCTGAGATAACTGAATTATTATAGTACTATGCTACATGATGATTGGTTTTACAACACTATTTAATTAATCCTTTCAAAACGGTAACACATTTCGGAATTTCTGTTGACCTTTCGTGAGTAATCCCACTTACTGTATGTGTTCTATGGCACAACGTTCGTTGTCGTCGGTAGCAAGCTGGCGGGCGGAAAGAATTGGATCGAGTGAAATCATAACCACAGCACTGAGGTCATACGCTTGCTTGACATGTTGAAGGGAAATTTTAACTGTTTTAGTTGGTCAACGAAGCTCGCGACCAAGGATCGGCCAAATCGACCCTTCACAGTTGCGCCTTCGGCGATCTCTTCTCACACGGTATTTACTTATTTATGTTTACATCCACTTCCAGCCACTACTGACTGCCTACATCACCACCCTACTGTTCTGAGCTGTTTACTCATTATCTTACCACTTCGAGCGGAAAAACACTTCATATCTCTACTAAAAAGCACTGCACATATATGCACTTAGTACCAATTGAAGACTTAAGAATGTGCCCTGAAAATGCTTGTAGAGCAGTTCACAGTTACATTTAAAAAGGCGAGCCGCCCAGCAAGATAGGAATTCTATTTCAGACCCACTCCTAAAGTCCTCAGCTGTGGCTGCAGCAAATAGTGGCAGTCGAAGAGAACCCGGATGGTTCGATGTTTAAAGAATGCAATTGCCGCATAACTGCTAAAAGTATCAGTTCTCACGTCCAGTATAGATGCCTGTATTTACTAAGAAAGTGGCTTGGTCGCCAAATCTATGTCGTTTCTTGCGTGCGCAGCAAGTTTTTCGTACCACTGTCCGGCACCGAGCGGCTATTGTTGCCCTGTGGGCAAATGCGTTTCCGATTATCTGAGGTCCACCAAAACGCCCTTACTTATGGCGCTGGTGACCAATGCGTAGATCCCGTAAGGTTTCTATACTCTTAGAATAGCACAGTCAATAAAGACAGGGGAGACTTGAATGGCCATGCCTGGCCTGTTCGCCATCATCAGCCAGCCATCTGCCACCTGTGAGGCTGTTGGCGAAGCTCGTGAGGGAGTCCCAAGGCACAACGGAAAGAGTGAATTCCGTAACGCGATTGGTGCGTGCTCCTCTACACAACAATGAACCCGTGTCTCAGTGACGTGACCAAACTGGAATAAAACCTACGTCTCACGATCGGAGCCTACTAATCCAATTGGCTAAAGCGCTATCTGTACGCTAGCCTTGCGCTTGCAGTCGTGTGTTCAAATCCCGCTGATTGATGGCTTTGAAAAATTGGAAATGCGCGAAAATGGTCCACGTACCTTGACGAGTGATCTCTCCCAGAATGAGATCCAAGCTGGTATTTAAAGCGGTTTTGAATCAAGGGCCGGGATGCTTTTCGTGGACATGCCTTGGATTGTGTTCAGTATAAGTCAGTATCTCAAGCGCACTTGGATGCCATCTTCGATTGTAAACATATCCAGAAACTATGGTTATCATGTTACTGCTCTCGCTGCATGAAGTTTTGCGTTCTTATGCGGATGCAACTGAATGCAAAATGTGGGTTCTAGCTAAAAGGCGAGTCGGGAAAAAGGTAACCATATAGATCTCTAGCGTGAAGGACCGTGGAAAATGCTTTTATCCATCTGTAATTTCTTGCATCCATTATCACTGTAAAAAGAAGAAAAACACAAAAGGAAACGTATGATTGCGCGTTATTTGAAGTAATCTAAGATGGATTTTTACCTACGTTAGTTCGATCTATTATGCTGTTTGCATGCAGAAAGGGCTGGTCTCTTTGTTTGCTGAACGAAATCACAACTTGCCTTGTTTAATTTCCGTGGAAATTAAAACTGGAGTCCATATACCAGAAAACACACGGGGAAAGCTGGGGGACCCACTGACGAGCCGAACCCCTCGCAGCTGCGTCAGGCAGCGGCATAAGATCGGCGAAACACGCGTGTCTGGGCTTTTAGTTAATACCTGTGTTGTTAGTACGGTAAATCATTGCACAGAAATCACATCTGCAAATCATATAGCGTATGCTTGCCTTATACCCCATGATCCAGACTTGAGAGGTCTTGAAAGTAAAAAATATGACCGGCCGTTTCGGGGTGCTTCATAAGTCGAGGCTGGCTTTTCAGTTGTCTTGTTGATAACAAATCAAAGAAGCAAAAGCAAGAGTGAATAAGACAAAACTGTAGTAAACTGGAAAGCATGTGCTTCTGTGTTGACTTTAAGCCTTGCAGAGTTGGTAGTAGGTCCAATCTTTTAAAATTGCTGCAACCCAATGACTGTCGCGGAGCCCTCAGCCCCTTCGTCATAGGGGCTGAATGTTATTTTCAACGCCTTTTAAACGAAATTAACGGTTTTGAGGATCCCACAAGGTGCTTTGTACATCATGTCATAGAAGAATGTTGGAAACAATTATCGTTATCTGGAGCCTATTCAAAATGTCAGCGTGATGTTTCGGCCAAAATGACGTCGTTTCACAAGTTTTCTCTGTCATGCCTTATCGGAAGAGTATGTTACAAGATACAAACGCTGTAAACAGCGCCGCTAGTTGAAATTCTGCTTGAAACAGACGATTTACAACGACATCCTATGTTACTTAATACCCACTAAAAGGAAATTTACCCAGGACATTTGACGTTCATTTCATTCGACAACCTGTTAACTTTCATTTGAAAAGTCAAGTTGGCAAACACGTGTTTTTGGTAATCCTTCATCAGGCCAACAATGAAGGAATGAAAATTTACAAAATCCACAGTCTTTATAGATGGCTCAAGGGCTATTAAGTCATTAACACTCATCATCCCCACGCCGCCCGCATCACAAGGTCGGCGGGTGTTAGTCGTCAGAGCTAGGGGAGGGGGGTAAGAGAGTCCTTGAGTGATGTTCTTGGATTGAGTACACGGAGTACCCATCACTGTAATTAGTGAATTGAAGTGGCATGTCGTCATCGCTTGGGGTTGGCGTTGGCCACGGCAGAGAGAGCGCTTGTGTCCGGGTTCTCTGACAGCATAACACCGGATTCACTAGCCGTATAGTTACTGCCTCGGCCGTTGCTAGTATCCGTTGGCGTAGGCCTTTAGACAAGCATGTTGATGTCCGGTAGACAATCTGAAATGCTTCCTTGGCATCGACTCGGTGATTCGTATCGATTAAATGTGCGAGACTAGAACTCGAAATCGACCGGATCTCACCTCTGTCTAGCCAGGCGGGCATATGTTCACGCACCCTCTTTACCATGCGTCCCCTTGTGCGGCCGATGAATCATGCTCCACAAGAGCAAGTGAATGAATAAATGCACATTGATGTGGCCTCCAGCAGTAGTCTGTCTGTATCCCTCAAACGTAGGAGGGGAGAGTTTGTGAAGCATACGCGTAAATTCGCCGCGGGGAATGCCCTCGTGATAGCTGTAGTTAAGCGCTGTCTGACAAGTTCGCTTTCTGCGTCTCCTGCAAAAGGCAATCTTATGAATACATCTTTCTTTTCCACAGTCGCAACAGTGGGCTTTTCGGCGCGTTCCCCAATATTTCGGAGGACAAATCTAGCTGGGTATCCGTTCTCTCGAAGTGTCTTCCGCAGCTGTTGGAGTTCTTCTTTAATAGCTTCAGGTGAGCAGAGGCGTTTCACTCTAGCCGCTAATCCCTGGATTAAATTCCGTTTGATGTTTAGGGGGACAAAACTGAGGAAATCAACGTATTGTCCCGTCCAGGTTTTCTTTCGGAACACCCTGCGCTGGATAGATTCATCCTCTTGCCTGTGCAGAAGGACATCGAGAAAAGCAAGTTCGTTATCTGCCTCGGTCTCTGCAGTGAACTTTAGCGAGGGGTGCGCACTGTTGAACTTTTGGACAAGCTCCTCGGTATCGGTGGTACCATCTGCCAGGCAGAAGATATCGTCCACGTACCGACCGTAGAAGACGAGGCCATTAATGGTCTCTTGCAAGCTTGTTTTCTCGACTTTGCCCATAAAAACATTTGCAAGGAACGGTCCAAGCGGTGGTCACATTGCCATACCATCTATCTGCCTGTATAGTTGACCATTGCACAGAAATTGGACATTTTGTGTGCAACGCGTCAGTAGTTCTTTTAGCGTTTTCACAGGCATGTCTATGGGGTAGTTCGTATCACGAATAACATCACAAAGATAGTTTATTGTTTCTGCCACTTTTACGCTGATAAACGGCGTTGATACATCCAGTGATGACATCCTCCGTCCGCTAACGTTAATATTTTTGATAGTTTTGACGAACTCAAAGGAGTCTTTTAAACTTCGAGAGTATAGATAACTTTGCAATGGCTTTAGTCTTTCCACCAGCCATTTTGCAACGGTATGATAGGGCGAATTCCTCATACGAGAGCTTTATCAAGACGTACTGAAGAATAACTATGCACGTACCGTTCGGGATTGTTCGGAAGGTTTTACTGACTGGACGCTTCGTAGGAGCTTAGTCCACCTGGCCTCCATGCTTTTAATTCTGACTGAATCCACATAGTCTTTAAACGCCAATCTCTCGTGGTTTTTCAAGGCGGTCGAGGGCCCCTGCCCTCTGACACAAGTTCCGCTGAAGTTCTTTAATTCCGGCATTAACTGTCTTAAGGTGACTCTCTGCATGTCGTTTTAGTCCAGTTGAAATTGAATCAGTTGAGTTCCTTTAACACCGGGGAATCTTTGGATTGTCTAAGATCCGCAAATATTTCCATGTTACACTTGAAGAGTCAAGTTGGCAAACACATGTTTTCGGTAATTGTTCATCAGATCAATACAATTACATGAACAAATGAAAATGTACAAAATCAACAGTGTTTATAGATGCCTCAAGGGCTATTAAGTCACTAACACTCATCATCCCCACGCCGCTCGTATGACAAGGTCGGCGGGTGTTGGTCCTAAGAGCTAGGGGAGGGGAGAAAGAGAGTCTTTGATTGATGTTCTTGGATTGAGTACACGGAGTACCCATCACTGTAATTAGTGATTTGAAGTGGTATGTCGTCATCACTTGGGGTAGGGAGCAAGACATTCCAGGAAATTGAGGGAGATAATCAACCGTCGAGCGAACTGGCTAACGATAGTAAACAACGCTAAATGTCATGACCATTTTTTTCGCAGTCTTTGGTTTATACTGCCAAACTTAGTATGGCTTCGACAAAAAGGCCTTGGGAAACAATCACGCTTTCATGCTACTGGCTATCTTAGCGAAACTAGGCACATAGTATTCGGTTGCAGAGAGAAGCAAAGCACTATCTGCGAATTCCGTTAAAACCCAGAATTGTGGGCTCTGGCTGTGTTAGAACTGAGTAGTGTTTTCTATTCAGGATATTTGGTAAGCAAAGGTCTCAGTCTATTGGATGTTACACTAATCTTCTAAGAATTTTGAATAGCAGTGTTGTGCACTGGATTCCGGCCAATTTACACACGCTCAGTTGGCTGGTGCAAAGGTTGAAGGGTCTAAACGTTTCGGTTTTATATCCAAAAGTTTTCGAGTTTGCTAAGACCACAAGTCCACTTAGTTGAGACCAAGAGGACAGGGGAGAGAGACCAGAGTCCACTATGTCTCGAAAGGCTAAAGCCAAAATTGAGGGCAACGGGGGAGGCATATTAACCAGTTTTACAGTTCTGATTTTTGTAATCAGTGCAAGGGACAACGGTTTCCCGCTGAGTAAATCTGTTTAGCCTTCAAAACAGTATCTACAAAACCTCCTCATTTATGTAAGTTGGAATGATTACTGGAAGAAGGAAGCGCTGATTTAGAGATAAGGCCAGAAAACGCTTGAGTCCGAGTATAGTATCCGGCCCACTTCTATATACATGCGCAGAGAACAGTGGTCCTATCTTGGTTATTTCATCCAGAGTCTCCGAAGTACTGAAGATATGTTTGGGAAGATTCGAGTCATGTGATCAAACTTGCCAAAGCGAGCATCAGGGACCTTGGAGGAAATATGTAAAAGAAGGTCGCGGTTCAGATATACGTGATATGTGATATTGCTCGTAAAACGTGATATCGATCAATTTTATGCCCTCCTCTACTGTTGCACATTTAGGCTGTTGTAAATGCCCCTCGTGCATTCAAAATATGTTTGTAAATAATTTTATCGGTCAAAATGCCCACAAATGTAAACATAAACATATGCTGCCTTGTATTCAGGCGGCTCCTATTTTAACACAGAATGTGTGTTATCCGACTAATTGAAACTTCTAAATATCTTATTGACTCAAAGTAATGACTTAAGCCGGATTATAACATTAAGTATCATGCAGCGTACTTCTAAGATATTCTAGTCCTGCCAAAATGCCATCTTTCGAATGAGCTTCCTTACATCCGACTACGAAAGTTATACACCGCAAGAATGACCACTTAATCGGTATGCATTTTTCCGTTGATTTTCGATGTCCTTAAAAATATAAATATGCCATAAATAAACACGCACAAAAGTATTTTCTCTCATATTCGTTTGGAAGTAGATTATATCACCCTCAAATTTTCAATTTGAAATGAGATCGTTTCTCAGTTTTTTAAGAAGCTTCCGTTCCTAAATAATATTATAAACTTGCATTCAATGTTTTTAAACTACCAGCAATGCACATTTTGTCAAACAATCACTGCAAATTTCTCTATACTAGCAGAGAGAAATTATGTAATACTCATGAAGTTGTGCAACGGATGTAAACCAGGTTTTATGTTTTATAGACAGCATTAAAAAGCATGCTGATGTGATGCTGTACGAAGGGACATTTCCTGGACTTAAGAATTGTATCAACATCGAAAGTCAGTGGAAAAAATTATATTACGTACGTAGCCATATTTCTCAAAGAGCAAGTTTTCCAGACGGCTAAAAAAAGTCACTCAAAAGCCGATATCCTGACATGTCCAAAATATCTTGGGATTCTACTGTTTAATAATGAATATTCAACCCTACCTAGGTGCCCTTTTCGCATGAAAAGCATACTTTGTGGTTTCGGTTCATATATATTGAGGCAGTACATCTATTCTACTTGTCCTAGACCACGTTGCCGCAATTGGGCGCCTTCCAACAGAGAAAAATAACTTGAGGTCAGACGTTGTACTAAAAAACATGCCGCACTTAGAACAGGGAGCAAGGTAGAATATATTTTTTAAAAACCAGACGGTTTATCACTTTGTGAAATTGAGATTTACAAATATATGCGATTGTGTGCCCTAAAACGCAGTAATAACGTCTCCAGGCAATCCCTAATTTAAACGTTCTGACAATTTTCCTGGCCTTCGCCGATGGCCAATCACTTACCGTTAAGCATATGATGAGATACTTTTTGCATGATTTAGTTTCAAATAATGCGTAATTTGGGGACAGGACGAACAGAAAGCCATCAGTTTTATTACTCTTTTAATATTCACATGTCTACTTTGTTTTACGTTTATAATCGCGTAGCAGCATTTCAAAATAAACGCACATAACAAAATGGCTCCAACATGAATTGAAAAATGGGTTGCTTTGTTTGCAGCCCGAAATAAGGGCCAATAGATTTCAGAAATATTCCCATGTTAAAATTGAAAAGTCAAGTTGGCGAACGCACGTTTTCGGTAATTCTTCCTCAGGCCAATACAATTACATGAACGAATGAAAATGTACAAAATCAACAGTGTTTATAGATGCCTCAAGGGCTATTAAGTCACTAACACTCATCATCCCACGCCGCCCGCATGAGAAGGTCGGCGGGTGTTAGTCGTCAGGGCTAGGGGAGGGGGGTAAGAGAGTCTTTGAGTAATGATCTTGGGTTGAGTACACGGAGAACCCATCATCGTGATTAGGGATTTGAGGCGGCATGGCTTCATCACTTGGGGTTAGCGTTGGCCACGGCAGCGAAAGCGCTTGTGTCAGAGTTTTCTGACAGCATAACGCCGGATTCACTAACCGTATAGCTACTGCCTCTGCCGTTGCTAGTATCCGTTGGCGTAGGCCTTTAGAGAAGCATGTTGGTGTCCGGTAGACAACCTGAAATGCTTTCTTGGCATCGACTCGGTGGTTCGTATCGATTAAATGCGCGAGAATAGAACTCGAAGTCGACCGGGTCTCGCCTCTGTCTAGCCAGGCGGGCATATGTTCACGTACCCTCTTTACCATGCGTCTCGTTGTGCGGCCGATGTATCCTGCTCCACAGGAGCAAGGAGCAAGGAGCCAACTTGACTTTTTAGATTTCAGAAAAATGAAAAGGCCGACAAATCGTTGAAATATTTGTCTTGCCGTTACCTTAAAAAGGGTAAAGCAAGCAGGCATCCTCCTTAGTAAGGCCCATTTTAGTTTGTAGTCTACTAGAAAGTTTTTCAGTTGATTTAGAGAGTGGCCATTGCCGACTCCCGTTGCTTACGTTCATTTTTCTCGGTGATAGTTTTTATGTTTGAGCGAGTCTACGGGTATGACCAGAACGATCATCCGCATAGTGAAGAATGTCCAAGCGTTTACTACTTCGGAGAATGCTTTCAAAGAATTTCCTATTTAAAAGATTTTGGTGGACGCGTAACATACAATCTACTTTTATGAGTGATCAGTTGATAATACTGAAAACCCTGAATTATCACCAATATTTTAAGAGCGATCTGAAACCTTACGTACCAGAAAACTCTGCAAAGACATTCGACAGAAGGGAATTCATCTAAATATGCCCGAAGATATATGTCTGTGGTGGCAACTGTCAATTCAGTTTAAATTATTAACAACCAACCAAACTGTTGACAAGCGACCTTATAAAACCATTTATTCCTATGATACTGCTTTCGGCGAACCCAGGTTTGACTCCAGATTGCCCGAGTCAACCGCATCACAGAAAATGTACAAACAGCTAAAATACGGCCGATTCTCATTAAACCGCTCTGGAATCTATTCTCTAGCTGCAGGTTGTTGGCTGACCGCCATACTTAACGTTGGCCCATTTCCCAACTATATATAATTTCGGCTAGCACTGTGTACGTGAATAAACTCACGAAGCCGCCA